CATTGTGTGTCACTTCTTTCCTAGTCTTGGCCTTAAGCATCCTTTTGGTTCATCTGATTTTCAAATATCCTATAGATATCCTTGGAAGATCTTGGAAGGGAGAGATAGTTTTAAGATGTTTTAAGATCCTTCTAGCTAGGTTGGGGTGATGTCGGTGGGTGGATCTGGAGATATCTGGTGGTTGCAGCTCTATAAAATGCTTTGCAACCTTTTACTAGAATGTTTTGTGGGTTGGCTGCAGCAAAAAGGCTTGGACCAGGCATTTGATAGACACTAGGGGGGTGATGGCTGAGCCATTTTGCTCCACTTCTTTTCTAGTGCATGTGATGTTTGAACTTTCCTCACTGCAGCGACTGGCAGGCACCTTGGACGTTGTGGATTTGATCACCCCTACCAAGGTTGAATGTGTGGGGAGCCAACGACGAGTGATCAGCAGACCACAGGATGCCAAGAAGTCAAAAGACCTCCGAAAAGAAGTGGAAGCTTGCCTGGGTGAAGCCACGCCGAAGCAGGTGAAGACAAAAGGACCCAGAATCAGAAGGGGTCAATGCCTGAAACCAAAGACAGTTGGAAAGAAGAAGAAGAAGGCTGAAACTGGTGCTGAAGAAAAAGAACCAGAGCCTAAAGCAGATAAGAAAGAGAAAAAGACAACGAAGAAAATGGAAGCTAAGCCGATAAAGAAAGACGAAGACGAAGACAAAGAAGAGAAATGTGATATGGATGATTCCACAGCACTCGGGGAAGGAGAATCCAAAGATGATAGCGCCAAGCCAGCCAAGTCTACTGAGGGCAAGAGAAGAAGGCGACGGTTCAGGAAGAAAACACTCACCAAGCATGACCTCAAACTCACCCTGGTCAAGTCGATGCTTGCCAAGAAGGGAATTAGCTGGCAGTACTCCCAGTGGTACCACTTCAGGTTTCCCACCACAAATGATGCCCAAGTATGCAAGGAAAGCTCAGGCTTCAAGGAAATGCAGGCTCGCATGGCCGAAGGCAAACCTCCCGAATGTCTGACTTGCATGGCAATGCTTGAGGAATTTGATCATGAACTCCTGAATGAGGAGCTTGACAAGATTGACCTGGGAACGGCTGCATCACCGTTCACAAAAATGAAGAAAGAGGTTGAGATAGTCACTGTGGAGGGCCCTGCTGTGCTGCCATGTTTGCAGCCAGCTTCACCAAAACCACAGCCAGCGGAACAGACAGAAGATCCAGATCCAGCACAACTGGCCATTGTCCCATATGATGAGGCCAACATGGGCTCTGATCTCGGTGCAAGCAATGCAGGGCCAGCTGAAGCTGGACACAATGATGACCAGGAGGACGAGGAATCCATGTGGGCTTTGTTCAAGTCAATGAAGTGCCTGGAGTTACTTGGGCCAGGAATCTTGGGCAAGAGACTTGCTGCCAAATGCCACGCTTGCCGATCCGCAAACCAGAGGGAAGGCAAAATTTTTGACCTATGCAAAAGGCGACGCCAGGAGATTGATTTCTTCACCAAGCAGCACCTTGGTGTCATTGTGTACTGAGCTTTGTCAAATCTTGCGTTGTTTTTGTTTGTTTTAGGAAAGTTTGCATATATATAGATGCAGTTGAATAATTGAATCATTGATAGTGAAATACAATCAAAAACTACTCTCTGAAATGCATAACAGGCCATTGCTAATACTCATATAGACAACGTCATTTCAGAAAATGATGAGGGTGCATTCTATAGTCCTTGCGTCTGAGGCATTGCAGTACCCAAAAACACCTTGCATCAGTGGGGCGATGGGTGCAAGGTCAAGTAGAACCAGATGACCCTGCAGATAAACCTGCACCTCTGGATGGTGGCCAGGGGACGGATGCAACTCAGATGGTTCCATGCGAAGGGTTCTCTTTGACACACTCTCGGCAAAAAATATCCCAGTACAGCTCAGAGTTCAAGCTTTGGGCACGACACACGAACTTGGTCAGCCGTCTCACAAAGCTCCAGTACAAGTGGGACATGGTTCGGGAAGAGCTCAGTGTTTTCCATCTCGAATGCAGACGAGTGGTGGAAAGGGTTACTGACCCTCCAACTTGCACCAAGTGCCTTCGAGGTGACCAAGGATATGCAATGCTCCGAAATTGCTGGCGCTTTTGCACGAAATATTGGGCGGCTCGTCTTTTGCACGCCAAGCTCTACAAGTCAGACGATGCTGTGTCAGAGATTGTGGACCAGATCAAGCAATCGCAGCTCTACAAAGCTCAGCAATCCCGAATTGATGCGATTCTGAAGCTGGAGAACATTCATTTGCAGCTGTAGCTTGATCTTTGAACAACAACTTGTAGGAACATTATGGAACATTCATTTGTTGATATTTGATGATATTTGTTGATATTATTTGTTGATGGACTCCTTTTGCTTTTGTTGATTGTGGCTCTTTAGAATGCTAAGATTGTGTTTGGGCAGGTCATAGGTATATGTGACTGATGGTGGGGCTTGGCTAAGCCATTTTATAGAGACGCAAGAAACGCGCAGGTATGTGCGGAAAGGATTCAGCTGCGTCTCCAAAGACCAAACGAATGATGTCCTCCGCACCTTCTTGAACACGATAGTGCTGCCATGCCTCACTGTCAACACCGCTGATAGTGTGCCAGAGCTTCGCCAGATGTCCTTGCAATTGAGCGCTGCGCTTGCCAGTGGTCAACTGAGTGAGATGGGCACACTCTGCGCCAAGATCTCACAGGCGACATGCGCAGGCAAATTTGCACAGAAGCCGGCAGTGCTAGGCATTCTGTGCAACCTCGTGGACATGCTCGACAGAGAGGAGCGAAATGTGACTACTTTAAAGAAACCACGCAAAATGTCAGAGCTCGAGAAAGATGTTGTTCATGAGGCCACCAGCATGCTGGTACTGAACAGTGCGAACGCCGATCTGATGAGATGCTTTGGCTTCAGCAGGGAGGCAGCTTTCCGTATGCAAGGCAAAATAGATTGTCTGCTGGAACAGGGATTACCATCGCCGGCGCTGGCAATGATGTACCCGGAGGTGGCAGCACAGAATGCATCGCTGATCGAGGCAATGATGTCAAGAGCAGAGCATCAAGTTCCGAGAAGGTTTGTTTTTGGGTTTGTCACTCAGCCATCATCAGCCATCTATATAGTTTTATTTTTGGAATGTCTTTGATGTTCTGTGCTCCCATCATCCCCCATCGCAAACTCAACCAGCCATAACCACCCTATAGAATGAGATTGTCCAACATCAAAAGCCAAACAACCAATTTATTTGTGTAGTTGAAATGCGACATAGCATTTTATAGAGACACAATGCTCATCCTGCCAAGGACTTCACGTATTTACAACGGTTCCGCACAAGCGTGCGGCTGTACGGACAGAATGGGGTCGTAGGTGGCCCGTTTCACATGAGAGATCTTACGAATGAGTCGCCCAGTTGCTTCGCACCAGTCTCAACTGATCTACAAAACATGAACCTCAAGGAGAAGGCCAACCGGATGCTTCTCAGATACATTGATCTACATTGAAGATCATGGTTGTATAAAGCTTCATGTTGTTTTGGAGCTAGTCAGAAAATGTAAGATGAGGTCAGATATATAGTGTATTAATGTGTATTATAGTATCATTGTTTAAAGAATTTATTGCAGATATTTGCAGATGATATATGATGATATATGTATATAATATATAACTATATATATATATATTTATTTTTTGGGACTATATGATGTTGATTTATGTTGGAGGTATATTTAGAGGTCAGTTTCTATAAAATGCTATGTTACAGGGGTTGTTCCAAAACAAATACTATGAACTCATCAAAACTCAACCCATATCATTTCATAGACACACGAAGATCAAGATGATTACAATAATGGTTTGTTTCATCTTTGTTCGCTACTATTATTATCTATTATATATCCTTTTTTGTTCTTTCATTCTGAGGTTTGAGTTCTTGCTGTGGGATCCATCTTTGAAGCGGATTTACCCATGGTCAGCGAATTCCCTTCCAATAGATCTGAAGAGCATGAACAGTACCACTACGGATAGCTCCTGGGCCACCTGGATGCAACATGATTCAACAAGATCAACACAATAGCCCAACATTGCGAATCTATGTGTTTTTTTGAAAGCTATAAGATTTGTTTTGTATGATTTGATAATAGTTGATACGATTTGGTGATTTCAACCATCTATGACCATGGCAGGAGATTGTGAAAATCCTGGACCATTTTCTGTCACAGCCAACAGGCGACCTTGTAAAAGTGTTTGTCATGGATGGTGAAGGCTGCAACAGCTACATCCGAAAAGCTGTCTTTGGAGAGCTAGATCGCAAGCAGCTTGATGGTTTGAATTGGTTCAGCAAGCTCCAGTTCCATGAGTTGAAGGCAATGGCTGACTGGCCCAGGTACCCGATCAAAGCTGCCACAATGGAAGGGCAATATGTGTATGCCCTTGGAGGCGTGGCTCACGCCACCAAGAATGCTGCAGGACAAATGCAAAGTGAGCTGAGGGTGATTTATTGCGGCGACTTTTTTTGTAGACGTCGCAGGGACATTGCAAAACAACATGCCACTTCCAGCGTTCAGTCGGCTTGACCCGATGTCCGACAAGTTGACGGCCCTGCTCAACAATCCGCTCTTCTACGTGGACCAGGACATTGCTGAGGCCTCCATTCACAGGGTGAACGTCCCATGGCAGCTGAAGGGAGCTCTCCTTATGAATTTGACGTGTGCACTGTGCTGCGTAACTTGGTTGCAGCATGGCACAAAGCAAACTATAAAATGCAAGTTTCCATTGGTGGAGTGTCTCTAGACAACCCTAGGTTTTCTATGTGTGCCACAGTCATTTTTATAGTGGAAGGGAAGGGTTTTGAAAGAACAGTGGAATATGAACATATTAAGGCGCCAGCCCTACATGGGCGGATGACTTTGGAGGAGCGTGCTGAACTCAGTCTCACAGGGTATTTGCTGCTGGAACTATGGCCCTTGCTTTCTCGCAAGCGGGAAATAAAGTATTCCCGCAAGAAGGGTTCTCATTTCATGGCTGGCCAGACGCGGCATTACCTCCAGTCTACCGCGCTGTGCGTATCCGTCATCGCTGCGACCAAAGAAGCGAATTGGGACCCATTTGTGAGGAGCCAGAACCTGAGCGAGATTCATGTGGAGCAGCACTTTGGTCGCCTGAGATCTTCTTCAGCGAGTGGAGATTTGACTGCACGTTCCTATTGGGGGTATGCTGCGAAAAATGCACGGGCGCAACTCATGAGAATCAAAGGACAATCTTTGCATCCCAGCAGTCCGTCCAGTGAGCCAGCTCTTTCTGAGGAGACGCTCCTTATCTATACTCATCCTATTTTGGAATGTTTGTCATATTGTTGCATCATTGATTCTCTTTATAACATCTATATTTGGTAATCTTTGCTTTATGTCTTGGTTCTTGTAATTTGGTTCGCTTTCACTGGTGTAAGCTTCTTTATATTTTTCCTATACCATGTATATAATACATTGTTTTTAAATGTTTTAAAATATATTTGTTTGATCTTTGATGACCTTTGTACAGTACGAGGTTCAAGAAGGTTGCCCAAAGTGCATGGTCATCTGCTATGCAGCTTGTGGCGGAATGTGGAGGCTGCTCCAAGAGTAGCTTGGATGCCTACTACCGGATGAGCTGTGAAGCAGGGCATGCCGCTTTTGACCTCAACGATGAGTGCAATGAGCCAGGGGAGTTGGAGGCGGCTGAGGAATGCGTGGAAGCATATGAGGAGCACATTTCAGGCATTGTGGATGAGAATGACCTCAAGGTGGTGCTGGACCGTATCCATGAGATGGCAGTGGAAGAAAGCAGCAAGAACGAAGATGAGAATACGGATACGCCTGTTCTGCCAGATCCTGCTGACCCCGAACTGAAGCTGCCAGATGGAGAAAACTTGAGATCTCTCACGACTAGTGGAGATGCCCAGGTGGCCCCCGAAAAGCCTGCAGAGTCCTGGAAGGGTTTGCCAAGATCTCTTCGCGAAGTACTGTGCCTCAGATTCTCTCAGCATATATGTTTGTGACTTGTATATTATGAATATGATGTGATTTGATACGAGGTGATTTGATTACATGGGCAATTCCTACGTTCCTTTTCACAAAGCCTTTAATGGTTGAATATATTTTCAACATTTTCCAACTATTGATAACTATTGTGTTTTTTTGTGTGTTTATGTGTGTAAAAAATAGTGGGTTGGACACCTATGAAATGAAATCTCAACTGTTTGGCATTTCTTCTCAGCTAGCAAGTGAAAAGGAAAGGTTGGCTGTGTATTTTATAGAGGCTTGTTGGTGTGTTTGTTGGTTGATAGTGCATGCTAATGTCTAAGTCTTTTGGTATTACACCACATCTATGAAATGCTTGTGTGTGTGGTGAAGCTTCTCTCCCTGTGAGTTGAGGTCACCATCTTCGAGGAAAAACATTTTATAGAGATCTGTAGGAGTCAGGTTTGGGGATGAATACATTCAACATCTCATAACATCTCCATGCATAATCATGCATATATGTAGATCATTGCTGATCATTATAGATCTGAACTCGCTGTAGCATCTTGTCCGAGATGCTGCAAACAACTCAGGGACCGCCCGGGCAACCTGTTCACCAACATTTGGCACCTGACATTGCACCTTCGTTGTGGCCAGCATGGAATGGACACGCATTTCCTGTCAAAATCCGAAGAGGTTCGCACGAAGGCAAAAGCCATGAACTGGCAGCAGATCCTTGCTGTTTGTGAAGAACTGACAGCCTTTTTATCATTTTGTTCCACCTGTTCTCGATCTCATTTATGTTTCAATATGTTTCAATTTTAGATCCTAAGTCATTGGTTTAAGCTATAAAGATTCCTAACATAAACTGTGGCCCAGGACTCTCGAGCATGACCTCAAGGAGTTGCGGGTGATTGAAGAGGAGGGGCTCACTGGACAACGTGGCTCACGCCTTTCCAAATGGATTGCAGCGTCCAAAACAGCTCGTGAGGAAATGGGAATGAAGGAATGCCAACTCCTTCAGACACTTAATTTTGAATTAACATGTTTTTTTGGAGGTATTGTTTTGTTTTGTTTGCAAATGTCTGACATATTGTTACATAATGTTACATAGTTTTTCTATAAAATGAGAAGGCCTAGTTGTTTGGGAAAGTTTTCGTGTAGTTGTGGTGCAGGCACTCAGAATAGCATTTTATAAGATATGTGATTTGTTTTATTTTTAATGCATTGCAACTCTGGCAAAATTCTATAAAATGGATAGACTAAGCATGCAAGTGGGATACTTGGTGTAAAACTTATTTATCAGCAATGAACATGCATTTAATAGTCACATTGTAGACACTCTTTACATCATTTTACATCAAGTTCTCTCCAAGAGATACCTGAGGACTGGCATGATCATCGCTTTGGTGGATGCGCCCGGTGCAGCTGTCAAACCATATCTTGTTTTGACTTTGTGGCCCAGGTCAGCCAAGCCACGCCCATCGGCGTCATCAATCCGAATTGATTTGGTGAAAGGCTTCAGGGCCTGCCTTCTCCATGAATCAAAAGACAGTGCAGATTGCTTTGAGCCGACAGAGCATGTGTGGCTCTACACTTCACAAAATGTATTTGCAGTGCTTGACACGGCTGCCTCAACCGACTTGAACAGCGGCAAGATTGTCTTGACACATGAGTCATCTGAGGCTCTCCAAAGGCTCAATGAGTGTCAGGTTGGTTCATCCTTGAAACTTCACAGCAAGAAGAAGAAGAAGCAGGGGAAGCAAGTGCGTTCCAAGAGAGTTGCTGCGGCTCTAAAACTTTCCAAAGAGGAAAAGGGATCCATGAAGGCGGTCATCCAAGCGATCGGAAAGAAGAACAAGAAGGCAAACGGAACATCTTCTATGGATGTCACAGTGGAAGACATCAGGCGATCCACTTTGGGTCGCAGCAATGTAAAGCAGGTGGTGAGCTTGATCTTTGACAAGGAGCTCTTGGCATTTCAAACAGATTCCTACTTTGATGGTGATGGATATTGCCGAATTCCTCAGGCCAAGGATTGGACCAAGAAGAGCTTGCTCAAGAATGCGCCGACGTTCTTTGAGCACAAGTATTGGCAAGCACGAAAACCAGAGGACTGTGGTGGGAGGTAGTTTGGAGGTTAGTTTCTATATGTTTCTATATGTTTCTGTTTCTATATGTTTCTATAAAATGCTTTGTTACAGGTGTTGTGCCAAAACAATCATTATGAACTCAGCCATCTCCACTAAACAGTCATTTCATAGGTTTAGATATTACATTCTATAAAATGCTCTGTTGCAAGGGTTGTGCCAAACATGCCAAAACAATCATGATGAACTCAGCCATCTCCACTAAACAGTCATTGCATAGGTTTAGATATTACATTCTATAAAATGCTTTGTTGCAAGGGTTGTGCCAAACATGCCAAAACAATCATTATGAACTCAGCCATGTCCAACAAAAGCCATTTCATAGGCTTGGAGGATAGTTTCTATAAAATGCTTGGCTACAAGGGCTGTGTCCAGACAATACTTATGAACTCAGCAAGTATCAAACAAAGTCATTTCATAGGCGCACCATGGTACACGATGACTAAGATGATTCAGGTTTTCTTAAATAAATATTGGCAAGCGATGGCAAAATGCACAGGACTTCGGGCGAAAGGTTTTTTCTGACCTGCATGTGATTCTGCAGAAGCTGACGGGCAACCCGCCCTGCCGAAAGCTCCTGGCAGATTTGATCAAGGAGATTGCGAAGGTCATGACGTCCTCAATTGTCCTGAATGCTGCTCAATGAGTGAGGCATGGTGAGGTCAGGGTGTGCTAGGTGTCCAAAAAGGACACATGGCTTTGCGTTGCTGTGCAATGCTTCGTAGGAGTTTGTGGGATTCTATTTATGGGTTTGTTTATGTTTGATGATGTTTGTGAATATTTTTGATGAGCATATATGAGCATATCAGATATCAATTTCTTTTAATAAAATATACTTTATAAACATTAATTATTATCTGATGTGATCTGATTATCTTTTTTGGATCCTTGGATTTACAGGGGTGCTTTGCACAGAGTCGCTTTGGGGCATTGCGACTCAACAAGCAGACACCAGACACTGCTTAAATTCGCGCTGCGCACCGGACGCAAGATGACGCGACCAGAGGCAAAGTTCAGAAAAAAGTCGCTCTGATGTTTCATGGCCATTTTATAGTGCCAAGGACGCTGTGTCTACTTCTTGCTACCTTCTTGCGGAATCTCATTCTATAGTGCATTTGGCCCTTCAGCTTACATTGCTGGAGGTCATCTGGAATGTCATTGTATAGGTAAAAGTGTCTTCACTAGTATATTCATACTTGACCTCAATCTGACCATTTAATAAGCAGATATAAGCAGTTTTTTGGGAACAAAAAAAAACAAACCTTGAGACTGGACCGAGCATTGTATAGTGGAAGTGGTTTTGCATTTTATAGGGATGTAAGGCTGGACAATCCATTCTATAGAGGGTATTTTCCTATAGAATGCCTGGTAAACCCTCCTTACCCTGGTTCACCGGGGATCTTTGAAGGTTTTTGGAAACGACATGCAATTGAATAAATTCCTCCACCTGATGTGCATCATCAGCTGTCTGCGATCAAAAGGTTTCCTTTTCAGCATTCCCTACTCCAGTTCCGCCAAGAAAGAGTCCAAAGCGTCAGAAACATCCTGGTTCACCAAGCTCTTGTGACACATCCGCTTTCCTTGAATGATGCAACAGGCACAAGGCGGCCATTGGATTTGACGACCACTTTGAACGATTTGTAACTGGTGATCACATCCTTCGGCTCAAAGCCCCCCCAGCTCAATCAAATACTTATTGAATTTGCTCGCAGCCTTGCAGCACAATCGTTCCTCCTTGGAGTAAAAGGCTTAACTGTGTGTCCAGAAACGTTGAGATTAGACCCTTTAAACTTAATTAGCCCAGCTGGGACCCAAAAAAACATCTGGAAACAGCAGCTGTTGACCGTCTCTTCCTTGGACACCATCATCACATAATCGGGACACCATCACAACATGACCGGGACACCATCACAACGTGACCGGAAAACATGACCGGGACAACGTCACAACATGAGCGAGACACCATCACAATGACCGGGACACCGTCACACCATCACAACATGACCGGGACACCATCAAAATATGACCGGGACAACATTGGCCCACCAGCTCTGACGGTGACCCGACCGCGCCCGTCCGCCTATTAGTAAATTTGATGTGCAAAGCCCCATAGCATGGCTATTGGTTGCCCAGGTTACGGCTAATTATATAGACCCAAAAAATCGCCTCGTATTGACATGATCGCACCGCCAAAAAGTTAGTTGGAGCGGGGGTAACCGACGAAATGTTTTTCCAATTAGTTTGTATTTTGGTAAACACTTAAGTCGGTTTTGCACGTTCTCAGTGTACGTTGGATCAAGCTGACCAACTCAATTAATCGACCCTCCCTCCAGGGGCAAGCCCCCAGAATTAATTCTTGTTGTCTGGTTTTGAGTGTTCGTGCTTGGTTTGTAGTGTGGTGGCTACTTCCTGCCTGGCTTTTGTACGCTGCTCACGTATTACGTTGGGCGTGACTGTGGATAGGGGGTTTGCCACGTGGCGAATGGAATTGACTGAGGGGTTTGTGAGGGGTCGATGAGAGAACGTTTTTCAGCGTACGAGCGGCACGAACCCGGAGAAACCCTGCCCAACC